TGTCAGTATCGAGTGAGAGTAGACAGGAGCTGTTGACGTGATGTATGTCTGCAGTTTGTTGGAAATGCTTTTCGTAAGACGCCAAGTCTCTCAACCATCATATAAAAGCACTGACTTGACTGACATTAGTGTTGAAAATCCAGATGTTGTTCACACCTTATGCTGAGTGAGGTGCAATGCAATGCAGTAGATCTCTACACTGATTTTACATCAACGAAGGCCTGTCTTGCTTTTCCGATCCTGGTTGCTTCCACATTCTTGTCTGTGCCACCGCCTTTAGTTGAAACGATGCTGCCTGCCGAGGTAGGTGAAAGAGACTACTTGCTTTAGATTTCTCCCGTTGGTGGTGATTGGTGCTTGTTGTTGTTGTTGGCTGGGTATTTTCATCACCTCTGTCTTCTCTATGTTCACCTGAAGGATGTCCCATCTCCCGTCGCTGCCTCGCCTCTTCTGTCAACTTGTTGGTTTTCGCCTGTGGATCTTCGAGTTTGTGCGACAAGATATTAGACAAAAATCATCATCGGAAAAATCCAAATCTTCTTCTGGGTTCTTCGCAAAGATCAAATAGTGTATGCCCATCTTCTCGCTCCTTACAGTTTGTTGCATTATCTAGTCCAGTCGACCAAAATCAGGAAGAGCATTGGTGATTGTAGGTGGCAGTCTTGTCTTACTCCTGTCTTCACTTCACTTCAAAGGCGTCACTGAGCTTTTCATTGTGAATCACTTGGCATGTAGCATCATATAGCATATGGCTACTGTTGAATGAGGTTAATAAAGGTTTGTGGCACTAAAACTGTAGTGTTTAAGCAGTTTCCAAATTACTTCTTGGTCAACTCTGCCGAAAGCCTTTTAAAAATCAATGAAGTTGAGGCAAAGAGTTGACTGCTCTATGATGATGCATAGCGTAGCATTGCAATTTGATCCTGAAGCCTTTAGCTGAACATGCTATTGAAAAACTCCTTTTTTAAATAACCTAACTTCTACACTTATATTTTTTTAAATTCCCTTTATTTTGCATATTTTCTTTTACTACTTCAAATTAGCTTTTCTTTCATATCTGATAAAAATTTCTATTTTATGACTGAAAAAACAGTCGGTGAAGTGATTGTAGATAATTCAGTTGACAACAGGTATCTGAATCCTTGCAACTAAACTGGCTAATATAAAACCTTTGCACAGCACAGCTAGTTTGTATGGTATATCAAGATGTTGTAAAAGTTTATCGTACAGTCAACATTCAAAACGAGGAGTCACTAATTAGAAAATAAAATTTCACGATCGAAAACAATTTGAATATTTTTAAAGCTTTAAATGAAGAAAATCTGTGAGTAATTACAAACAGACAGTAGCAGTTCAAATATTTCTCTTTCCAGTATATACCACTGACTGAAATGAATCATTGTCGACCTCTTACATCCTCCATCAGTAGTTATTCTTTGTCATGTAAAGGTTATCTAAACACCAGACTGATTTATCAATGATATCAATTCAGGGAGATGAGTCATTCATATCATACCAACTTTCAAACCTTTGTATTCACAAGCATGAAACCTCTTGGGATTTCAAGTAGATTAGAAATAATCGTCTAAATATTTTAGTTTTCAAACTAAATCACACTTCAACTTCACTTTTAGATTCAGCTTTATTCATCGTCTTTCTGGACGACATTATCAGCACTAACTTCAGTATGAAGTTACTTGTAACCAGTGATTAAACAACCAGCTCAGAGAACACAATGCAACCAAGACCAACCATCTCAGCTACAAATACTCTCCATTACTTCAAAGTTTGGAAATATTTCAAGTTGTTATTCAAAAGGTATTCCCGAAGTTCCAATGAGAAGTCGTGACCGGTGGGGGTAAAGTCTGATGGTCGTGAGGACAGTTACTCAATGATGACACTGGGTGGCGGTATATCGTGAGCTAACAGAAGTTGGAAATATGAACCATTGGATTCCCACCCAGTGGTTCAATGGTAACGTGCTGGCCACGAAACCCGAAGGTAGTGGGTGCGCTCTGCTGATGAGTCCTGTACTAGGACGAAACAGCTGTCCAGTGCTCCCAGGTTTCCGTTGTTCCTCCAACTGATGTCAGTCTACGATTAATAACAACTTGAAATAGTTCAATTGTTCAACAAGATTGAATTTTTATTGTCAGAGATTTCAACTTAATCTTCAAATAAACTTTTTCATGAGAATTTTCATATCTTTTTCCTTGTGAAATCGTACTGAACACAACATTTAGGTTGACACAAAAAAAAGCCTCTGTTCATCAAAATACAAGCTGATAGATTATTTCAAAGTTAAAAAACTGTATTTCTAAAATATTTTGTTTCGTAAAACATCATTTCACGCCCAAGTAAACGTAAATAACTTCTTTGTACTGGATGATGATTGAAGGTGAGATGAAAATCTGTACCACGACCGGATTCGAACCATCGACCACCGGGTTACCAGTACAAATACTAGTCTGCTAAAGTACGGCTATCTCAGATAGTCAAATCATAGTAAATAACTTCATCAAATTAACAAGTTGATATAGTATAACATTATTGACTAATTCATAAAAGACAAGTCAATTAATATTTACAAATCTAGTATTACTTCTAATAAATACGGACGTTAAGTTCATCGAAACAGTCAAAGAAAATGCATTACATAACGTTCATTTTAAACCATTAAATAGAAACACATCTTGACTATTGTAAAAATGTATTGTTTAATGATTAGTAAAACATTGAGGGTAATCAGGTGATCAAGAAATCTAAGACCCGATCTTTGGAAGTTATTTAAGGATTATAAACTAAAAGTTGTCTTACTCTGAGAAATAATATAAAGATCAACAAAAAGACAAAAGTGCTGTTTTGAATATACATTGCACCTTGATTTAGTGTAAACTAGATAAATTAGGTGAAAAGGTGAACATATCTTAGATGTATTTTTAATAATAACTTCAATTAAAATGCAACTAAAAAGTTTAATGAAAGTTTGAACTTATCATTATATACTTGACAAGTTATTCAATCTGATCAAACAAATATAATCAACGTAGAACCAGGTACACACGTCCATCAACTCAATTTGCCACAATTCACAGCAGTAAACAAATAACAAGTAGGTAGAAAAAGATTCATATCACAGTAGACAAAGTTGTGTAAGCAATCGGAAGATAACAGTTAGTGTAAATATTCTAGCTTTAGAAGATGTCAATTAGTGAATACATCTGCTCCATTGTGACTAATTTTCAGTCATGTCAACGAGTCCTATCGTATCGGAGACAGCAACCAGATAGTTTACATTTCTCTTACACAGCTCAGACTAAGTTCAATTTGATCCGATAACTAAAACCCGAAAAATTAATTCATTTAACAATCTGATTAGTGGTGGATAGGAGTCTGAGAAAACTTGAGTGCTGATAGAGTTGTGGAGGCGGTTGACACTTCCCGGTTGCCCCCACCATGGAAGGCTATTTCTTCTTAAGGTACTTGAAAGAGATTTGTGTGACTGCAGAGCCATCGGACGTCTGCTTGAGGCCTGTCACACGTAGCCTTTTGAGTATGATTATTTTGAACTTTTGTATTTCTGCGGCCGGATGGTTGAAAGGAAACGACAAATGAGTCAACACCGCCGGTCCGGCAGACCGTGCGGTATGGTGGAGTGTGTTATTTTTGGTCCCGATATTTTCTAACTCCCTACTTCCACTGAGAAGGCAGCATCAGCATGGCACTGCTGGTCATCCAAGAGAAGCACCTTACTGCTGTCACACCTCATCCAGCTAGCAGCAGTTCGACTTCGCCCTCAGGCCCCCATCATAGCGTAGTAATTTACTCCACAACAGTAATTGCTTTTCGTTTAACCACTATCCGACAGACCTTTCTGGTATAGTACAACCTCGAGGGAACAAGTGTTTCACCAGCATAGCTCGTTGGATTACTGTGATATGCAAGCCTGACCACCTTATCAAGGTAGCAGCTATTTGTCGAATTAACAATCCGATTAGTACAAATTGCAAGGCAACCACCTAACTATATGACTGGCATCATTAAAATGTAAATCACGATGTTTTGGAGGGTTTAGGTTCGCAATTTTATTCATATATCACACAACCTTGGTGACCAGCTACTTCGGATACTCAGGCTCCTCTTTTCGAAGCTTTCTTATGGCGTCAATCTACTGCCGTAAAAAGATAATACCACCGTCTAAAGGAGAATCAGTCAGCGACCACAGTAGCATGAATGCGAAACACCGAAACTAAATGCTTATTGTAAATAAGTATTTCTGTAATGAATACAAATAAGCGTGATGGATTAGTGACGCATTATTACTCATAGTACGCCCAGTTGCAAATGTTATACAAAAGACTAGACACAAACAGTATCCCTAATGACTAGTGAATCACTAGTCTGTTAACTAATTTCAGCATAAAATAATGAAAACACCCTCCATACAGTGATGATCAAAAAATACAACAAGCAAACTTTGATTTTGAAAGTTAAGGACAGCAAAACATGTGGATGGAAATGCAATAAAATCTTTTTAGGAAATCACCAAACTGAAGTAACCGGTAAATCAAAAGCACTACACAAAAAACTTCATACTCTATGATCCCCTTGAAACCGATCTTGACTTTCAATTATATGACGCTTCATTTTAGCAATGAAAGAATCGCCTGGAAATTGTTCCCTGAACTATTTAAAGCTTGAAGACTTCTTCAACTAGCCATATTTATACTGAATAATTAAGTGTTTTCAGAAGGTTTTTTAGATCCAATATTTATTTTTAATGGCATTCACTATTCTAAAAGTCAAGTTACTACTTTCATAGTTTATTGATAGGTTGTATCATCGTAAAAAGTTTTAGAACATGTTGGCCTATGCACAATCCTTATTAAAATCAAAACTTAATGTCTGCAAAATGTTCACCAAAATGTTTCATTAATAATTAACAACTATGTATTCACTGCAAAACACTACAAAGTAAAAAAACTTTGGACTAATCTTACCTGTTTGTGGTTTTGACGAGTTATTTCTGAAACATCGTTTATTTCCTTAAACATGCCATCTTGAAGTTTAGTTTCAGGACAAGAACGTGAATCATAAACAGGAGACACATTCTTAAAACATCTGTTAAGAGGGGAATGATTGATCGCTATGTGGAATACATCACATAGATCATCACATTTATGATTCTTCTCTTCTGATCGGCTACGTTGTTTTGATGTTGTGTAGAGGTCACGTGAATAAGATGTACTTCCGGATGTGGTAGAAAAAGAACTTGGAGTGCTTGTGTAACAAATACAGTGCCCTAACATATTGTCAGGGTTTTCCAAAGACTCATCACACCACAAGCTAGTAGGATCGCCAGTTGTGCCGCACCAGCCTGATAAGTTGATTTGATGAAACGTAGAGCCCATAGCATTCTTTTGTAACAACCAAGTGAAGGAATAAAAGGTGATTCAGATCTATAATTGAAAAGAAATTGTGTTCATCTAATGTGGAAAACATACCTCTCGAAAGATATTGGACCAAATAATAGTCCCCAAGTGGATGATAAAAAACATGAAGCTACTAAAAACCTTAAATACTTACCATCGTATATAAAGGAAACGAGTCTCAAGTGGAAATATGGCTGATGAAGTGAGTGAGGAATGAAACTTTCATCTTCAATGCAACTTAGTCGCTAGGCATAATTAAAAATATCTCTCTCAAATATATTCACTATGTCTTACCTTTCTAATATCCCTATAACAATATTGAACTATTCGATGCATCTTACACTGGGCACTTGAGTTCTTTCAAAACTGTTTCTCAGTTGGGTAGCTTTGAAGTTCCTTCTAGTCGCCTATCTAGATGAATAAAGCTGTTCACTAGGTACTCCAAACATGAGTATCGTTGTAAATTTACCCCAGAAAATACAAGTATAAACTACTATCTCTTGCATCCAAAACAGCGAATGAACAACGGAGATTTAACCTGGCATAGAAAATATGCACTGATAACTTAAAATAACAGTATATTAAAGACGATGTGCACTCTTATGTGTGACACAATAGAATCAAGCTGTAAAAGTGAGGAAACAAAGTCACTACAATTTTAAAATATAAATCAACCTTCACATGGATTAATTTTCTTAAAAGGTCAACTGAAATTTCAGTCTCAAATAAACAGTGAAAACAAGACTTCTTACAACCACGCCATTTGAGTAGCTGTTAATGACAGCTAACAATGGCGAAGAACGTTTCTAGCTCGGATAAATCATCTTGGTCGTTTTGTACACTCTGAGCTGGGCGTTTTGTTTGCAGAACTTACAATGCCTTTCTAGACAACATCAGCACTAATTCCAATACGAAGTAAGATATCAGGATTTCTAAATGAATGATTCAGTAAACTGAATTGGCGAACTGATATGTGATCTGCAGCCTCTTTTAGCTGTTGTAATATTCTCGGCCGATACCTGCTACCTTGACGTGGCGATCAAAACTGTATATCATGATGGTTCCCTCAAAGTCCCAACGTCCCAGAAAGGTCTGTTGGATAGTGGCAAGACAAAAACTAGCTATCGTTGTACTGTAAATTACTACTACATGATGGGGGTCCGAAAGCGAAGTAGCACTGCTGCTAGCTGCATAGGGTGTGACAAATGTATGGTGTTTCCCTTCGATAATCGGCAGTGCCACGGTGATGCTGCTTTCCTAACCGGAAGAGTGGGGATAGAAAAGAACAGCGCCAAAAATAACACAACCCACCCCCTTCACGGCATCCCGTTGTTAGAAACGCCGATTCAGTGTCGGATTCAAAAGCAAACAACGAAAATCTCAAAATTACCCAAAGGCCGTGTGTGGCCGGCCTCAATCAGATGTCCTATGCGCTCTGGGGTCACGCACTGCCTCTTCTTTTTCAGGTACCCTCAGAAGGAATAGCCTTACATGGTGTGGGTAGACAGGAATTGTCAACCACCTGCACGCTTCCAGTAGTACACAAGACACAATCAAACATGGTTTCCTTCTCAACACTATCTTCTCTTTTGCCTTCGCCTCCTGATACTAATACTAAACCCCTAAAGCCCCACCCAATCTCTTACCCTGCAATCATAGACCACTAGGAAAACCATCGAAACCTCATTCCTAGTCATCCAAGATGCCGCCATAAATTTCAAGTTGGAGCTTCCAACGTCCGAACTCTGTGCGGAATCCGACAGCAAGCATCGCTCACTGAAACTCTGGCCATATATGCATAATATGTTTCAGAGACACGTGTACGGGAACCGAGTGCAGTAATTAAATTGACCTCACCTGGCCATGGTGATGAATTTTCAAAATTCATATAACGATTATCAAAGGACCCGATGGCTAGCTCTCGTGAATTCACCGGTGTGGGCAAAGCATTGAGTTGTAGAGAAAAAAGTGACCTTCTAGACTGGATACCAGTCAATAGCCGTCTGTATGCTATTCAGCTGAATGGATCTGTAAGAACTAAAAAGGATCATGAGACCAATCGATGCCTATTCGGAATCTCCGCCTACGCACCCAATGACTGTAGTTCAGATGATGCAAAGGATGAGATGTCAACCTTGCTACAGAAAGCAAAACGTTCAAACGTGGTCATAATGGCAGGTGACTGTAACGCCCAAGTACGGAGGCTGAGCCAATCGGAGTATTTACGGAACCTCATACCAACGAGCCGATAACGGCGATAATCTCTTCCAGTTTTGCTCCGACAATCACTTGTTTCAGGTCACCACTAACTTTAGACATAAGGAAAGACACTGTCTCACTTGGCATCCGCCGACCTTAAACCAACGATCAACACAGATAGATCACATTGCTATAATTTACCATTGAAGAGGATCCGGGGAGGATTGTCGCTCTTTCTGAAGTATCTGCTTGGACTGTGATCACGAGGTCGTACTCGGCTCGTGTATGTTTGCGCCTTACTGCTTGCAGGAAACAGGCGATAGTAAAGCTCTTTGATGGTCAATCGAAGTATGCGAACTTCAATTCTGCGTTTAAGGAAGAGGTAGCCGAGCATTTATCTGAACATGACAGCAATGCTCATCCTGAGGAAACCTCGAGTAACAATGAGTCTGTTGTTGAAACAGCAGTGAAACAATTGTCGACAAGCCCGAGAAAGTTAACAAACGTCAATGGATTTCCATGACGTCATCCAAACTGATTGATGCGAGACTGATTATCAGTAGATCTAACCACGATGAAGAGTTAAAGCAGCCTAAAGGTAAGTTAACTGAAGGTCCTCCCAATCATCACGAGCAGTGGTGGATGGCGAAAGTGACAGAGGTGAAGGCATCAGCGTTAGATAATGAACAGCAACTGCTTACGCTCATAAGCGTTTCCGGCAAGAAAAACACGATGATTAGTGAAACCATCACCGAAAAGGGTGGAACCCCGATAACCTCTAAGGAGAGGAGGCTTAAAACGCTAGGCTGAACGCCCTGAAGCATTGTTCAACCGGCCAACATCAACGTTTTAGTTGCCCAAGATCCGTCTAGAACCTCAATGGAGCTCAGATGTTGAACACCCGAATCTCCATAAAGCTGAGAAAGCTGTATCGAACCTGAAACGATGCAAAGCAGCAGGACCTGACAGTTTGCCTCCTGAAGTCTTCAAGAAAGGAGGTAGGAAATTGGTGATTAGAGTGACGGAGGTACTAGGCAGTGTATGGGAATCAAAGCTAGTCCCGTCATAATGGTGTATTTCCCTGATCATCCAAGTCAGTAACAAGGTGGGGGAATTCTGGTGACAACCATAGAGGAAATTCGTTCGACTAATATTGTGTACAAGATCCTAGAATCCATAGTTATCCGAAGCCTTACTGGAGCTCAAAAAAAAACTCCAGAAAACCATTCAGGTTTCAGACCTGGACAACGGTGTAGTGATCATATTTTTACCCCCCAACAGGTCCTGGAACACAGGCATACCTACTGGCCAGAGCCCCATCTTTCTTGACTTGAAGGCGGCATTTGACTCAACCGACTGCGAGGTGTTGTGGCAGTGTCTAACCGTAACAGGAGTATAGGGCAAGTATATAACGCTTATCAAAGCTCTCTGCTCAAACTCACGCAGTCGTGTCAGGCATTATGGAGAGTTTTCAAGTGAACTGACAACAACTAGTAGTGCCCGACAGGGATACCCACCGCCACTGTTCCTATTTAACTTCGTCATAGACGCCCTAATGGACATAACCCTATGTATTTCTGACTTCATCACAGGGACTGACCTACCCCCTAGAGGTCGTTCGGTTGACTTGGAGTATACAAACAATATTTTCCTGTTAGGTGAAGACGCTGGCAAAATACAGGGTCTTCTGAATGGATTGAGCAGAAATCTGAGTATGTTTGGCATGGTTTTCACACCTGTCAAATGTGAGATGATGCTCCACGACTGGTCTGTTGCAAGCACTACCAATTCAACCATAGGAAGTGGAGGGGTGGAATGCATTGACCACTTCTCTTACTTCGAGAGTTGCATCAGCGCGAACAGGCTGGTTACTGACGGAATTTCACCTCGTATACAGACGGTCCGTTCGGCATTTGCCAACTTACATCACCTGACGTCGGCGAGGTATCCGACTGTTTATTAGAGGAAGTATATACTGCAGTGCAGTCCGTTCTGTCCTGTTGTACGGCTATGAGACATGGTCGTTGAATGCAGAAGACATGAAGTGGTTGCAAGGTGTTGATCACAGATTTCTTTGCAACACTGCTCGCATGTGATGGGATCACTGTCTAGGTAAGATGAAGTCACGCAAAGGTTACTAAGCAAGACAGGCAAGTCGATTAAAGAGGTTGCGAACTTCAGTCAACTGAGATGGCTTGGATATGTACTACCTACCTTGATGTGATATACTAAGGGAAGCTTCATTAAGTTACAAGAGCGTAGAAGGTGGCCAGACTTGGCATCAGTCAATAAAGACCCTGACTGTTGGTCTCAATTGTGTGGGGAGAGGTAGACTGCCTGGTTGAGGACACTTGATGAAATGGCTGTAAATCGGCCATAATGCCGCTGATGTATTCATTCCTTGAAATCGAAATCAAAAATATTTAAACTTACCGTTATCGTCAGGTTGCTTATTCTCCCACAAAACTACTTTGGTATCACTTTTTCTACTTGTTACTTATGTACTTCAGTTAAGTGTCAAGTTGAGAGGATGCACCTGTGTACGAGATTTTACGCTGGTTTTCTCACTCAGTTTTATCAGTTATTTCAGTAGCAGATCCCTGAGTCAGTTGCCTTCCACGCTTCTTAAGCATAAATTATTTTAACAGTTGTTTATCACTAGTTCATTAATTTGCTACGGTTTTTTCTAATGCACATCATTTAGTTTTTTGAACAATAGTATTGAATAAAGACAGAAATTCGGTGTAAGCATTATTACAACGAACTTTGCAGTGCCTTGACTCTCCATAAGACATGGTGCATTCCATTACTCCACTGCTCATTGTCATTCACTTAGGCAACCTAATTTTGCCTTCATCTTCCTAAATCAATTTGATGATTGCAAAAGCTTTATGATAAATAAAATAGTTAGATGGGTTGTTGAAAAAGTAATTCTGTTTGCAAACTTTTGAAATGAAAAGTTTTAACCAGAAAATGATAGTGTATGAGGGAAAAGGGACAAATTTTTCACTTAAAAGGATCGAAGCTCAGATTCATGACAATTTACATTGAAATAGTAGACTAACAACTGGTACTTTGAAAATGCAGTTGTGGATACTAACTGGTACGATCTGAACTCCTCTATGATCTGATAGAAACTCAAGTCTTAATGATGGCCAACGAAATATCCAAGGTTTATTGTCCCTATCTTCGTGTCATATTCGCTCTCCCATGTTTTTTAAAAAGTTTTTTGGTGTTCATCACTAAAATGATAAGTTTTCTAATCAATGATTTCATATATATATATATATATATATATATATATATATATATATATATACGACATCCTTAATACATACTTTAAAGATGTCTAAAATACTTCGCACACCCTCAAATTTCAAAGTGCAAAATGTATTCTATAAAGACCATTTAGGAGAAAACATGAACAGTAAGAACTGGAATTTATCCGTCAGAACTGGGAATAAACCAATACAAACCCCCAAGGTAGCGGGAACGCAAAAGCTACTTGAAAGCAACGCCTAATATTTTTGGTTCCAATATCCGTAGGGTACACTTTTCCAATCCTCACCTTTCGTGTTCGAAGACAATATGTAAAATAACTGTCCATCTAGGCAGCTTTGTAGCAACCAGTCACAAATAGGCTGTTTTGATAAATTTCGTACTACCCAGTCTCTCCTGTCGACTGTCGACTATGATTATATCATGTGGGAATACCATCTCATTCCTCGAGAGTGAAGTGCTCAAACGCACAGTCATATGTCCCCTGCTATTTCTTCTCTGCATAATGTAGCCTCAAAATATCGCGTGACTTCCTATAGTTGCCTATTCTGGTGGTGTAAATTTCTCACAGGAAGTTAGGGAAGATGATGTGTGTGCGCAGATCTAGAAGAATGCTAAATTGGTCATGAAAGTCGTTGATGATTACCGACGTAAGTTAGTGTATTGGCATCAATATATGGCTTAAAAAGGGCGACGCCTATTACTTTGGTGATATCCCCTTCATATCTGCCCTGACTCCTCAATGATCTAGGATTATGATTCGAAGAATAACTCGCACTCACTACTGGCTGCTGCCCACAGTGTCCCGACATTCTGTGCATAACGTGGAACGCGTACGAAGGTAAGTGACGGTATAATCACCACCTGGTGTACGTGCTTGGTTAGGGAACTGTGCAAAGGTGACAGGACGTTGTCTGAAGGGTGACTCAGACCATCTGGAAAGAGCTTAAAATCAAAAGAGCGAAAGTTTCACCAAACTGGAACTGGTTATCGCATAAGGCAGCCGACCCCTGTAACCGAATCCCAGAAGAATGGTGTCTATCTCATCAAAATTTTTGGTGATCTGGTGATCTGCATTTAACTGAAGCCTGATTGAAGCTTGAGAACTAAGTCCCGAGAAAGATAGGTAGACTGTAGATATAAACGCGGCCGAGTCAATGGGAATTTTATCTTTCGATAGTTTTGAAAATTCAGTCGTACTCACTTACGGTGCTGAAACTTACCATACGTCCCAACTGGAAGGTGGCGCTTGACTCCATCGATCCGGAGGTGCGTCAGTGTCTGAATGGAAAAAGATTCAGGCTATAAATTGTTCTCAGCTTTCATCAGTACATTCGTGAGCTGTTTACTAGCACAGGATTTCTTCGGTGAAACAGTTCTTGATCCCCAAACGAATCACCACTGTACCAAAAATGGTATCTTATTGTTTTTTTCATAACTTAATAATAATAATGGTAATATTTATTCCTGAATACACAAGAACGCACCATTTTTACAGGTATGAATAAGTTTATATATAAATTACATGTATCTTCATGGAAGGCTGCCTCAATCCCCACCCGCTGTCACTAGAAGATAAAGGTGCTACATGTTTACATAATGGAACATCCCAACAAAATAAGTGTGCAGAAAATTTACAAGCTGGACAAGTGGGAGTATTGTCTTCGCATTAACAAAAACAACTAGATTTGTATTTAGACACTACAGGTATTACCTGGAGAAAAATAGAGCTTGAAGCTAATACTTCCACTGTAACAGTTTGTACTTTTTGCTTGAGATAATGATGAAAAGTTTATGAGTGAATGTGTGCACGAATTGTTTACATATTACACCTCAATGATGGTTCCAGAACTGTATAATTCATGCATGTTAATACCATTTAACCACAAAGGTACATAATCTTGATGAGTATCATGACTGAGAGCCAAATATCTTCACTTTTCTAACTATCACATCAAGAAGTAATTGGTTTGTTTGAATGCGCCAAATGGACTCTTAGGACGTCTTGTCCACCGTTTTTACGGGTCGTGACAGCCTTGTGGTCGGTAAGTGTAGAACCTCTCTGGTCACCTTTTATGGTGAGTGAACCCTAGATTTTGATAATTATGAAGTTGCAGTCAGTGAAAAGACAAGGCAGCAGGCTGAGAAAGCAAGAATTCCAACAAGGAGAGTGTTTTCTACGTTCATGTTTCTCCCCACTTAACTTTCCTTTCTATGGCATTCATTGTATATGCCTTTTCTATAGAGTACTTGCAAACAGATATTCCATGCTGTCGTGTAGTGTAGAATTCCTACTTTTGATTACTGTGTTGGGTCGGGCAGAATGTGCCATTAGTTCGAGGTGACAACTTATGGAAGTCTCCTCAACGTTTTGTATGAAGGGCCACTATAGGTGTGGTGGGTGTCTCATTACACATTAAGAAGGCTGAGTATACAAAATGTCGTGAAGGATACTGTTGACGTATTCGATAAGCCGGAAGACCAATCAGATGGTAAGACGTTAGCCAGTAACCGACCAAATTAAAGGGTTGATTTGGAGGCCTTCACTTTAGCAGGAATTCTGTTTCACAACTGAGAGAATTTGACGGTGAAGTTTGTGCACAGGCAGGATTTAAACGGTTTCATTGTGACGCTACGGACCTGGTCGCGCAGATCGTAACAACTTTCGTGTTTGAACTGCAAGTCACCACGGGCTGAAAGAGTGAGTTGATGTAACACACTAAAGAAGAGTGTCAGGTTGATTTTGAGCCGTCTCACCCAAAGTGTTTCTTAGTGTTCTGCATCTGGAGCTGCGGTCCTGTTTGCAATCGTGTCCTAGTAATCTAGCTGTGAAATACCTCTGGACACCCTCTATTTTATGTTTGTCTTTTATGTGGATACCACTCAGTATAAATGGACAGTATTCTAATGGTAGATGTACGCAAGTTTTGCAGAGTAGTAACTTAGCTTCCCTAAAAAAAGTTACGAACTATGCAGCCCATCAGGATCCTAGATTTACGAGTTTGTGATGCTACCCGTTCAGAAAATGTTAGGTCCCTTGAATGTCTTAGTCCAAGGCCACACACACTTTTAAGAATAGGTGGTTTCATAGGCTGATGATGCGGTTGAATATCCACCGATGGAGCACCAAAACATATCCAGCCACATTTGCCTATATTGAACTGGAGTTTTCAAGCAGCAGACCATGCGGACATTATGTCGAGCTCCATTTGTATCAGCGCTTGGGAGCGGGGTAAGTCGTCAAGGGTGAGTGTGTACGCAACTTTTAGGTCATCAGCAAACAAAAATGGCTTACTGTGTGCAGAGCAGCTGCAGACGTCATCGACTATAAAGTAAAGAGAAGGGGGCCTAATACACTACCTTGAACAAAACCTGAGGCGACTGGCCTAGGTTTTTGAAGTGTGTAAATCCACCTTCACCACCTGAGTGCGATTAACGAGAAAAGACTTAACCCATCCCAATAGTGGATAGTCAATTCCCATAGTCATCAACTTACTCATTGACAGCAAGTGATCGACTGTGTTAAATGCCTTTGAAATATGTAGATGGAGCACAAGGACTAACTGGTGCAGTGGTTACAAAGTTGAGGAAGTCAAGGTGGCAAGTTGTACAGGATCTCGATTTTAGGAACCCACGCTGACTCGATGTGATGGTGTTGCCGATAAGAATGTGCTGAAGAACGCTTTCCTCAATAACTTTCTCCATAATTCTGAAAACGGCTGGCGTAATATTTATTGATCTGTAGTTGCTGGCTAGTGTTCTTGAACCAGATTTATATCTGGGGAGAATAAATGATATTTTCCGCATATCAGGGTGCGTGAAAGATTCCAAAGAGAGAGAAAATACTTTACGCGAAAATAGTGGAATTTCAGGGCCGCCAAATTTGGAGAAATGTGATGATGTTCCGTCTGAGCCAGCGCTGCTGGAGAATTTCGGCGTCCTGATGGCTTGGCGAATATTAGAATATGTGAATTCAACCATACCTATCGTCGTTGGTTGAGAAGAATAGCTTTTAAAAGTGCAGGCCGCATTGATATCATACGAAAAATTCGTAGGTTCCAGATAACTAACTGCAAATAAGTCACTGAATATTTTACACATATCCACTGGACTGTTGTAAGCTTTGACGTCATGGACAAGAAGAGAAATGTTATGTTTTGTGCAATTAGATCGCTTCTCAAGGAGTGCTGGGACAGCATGTACTCTGAATGAGCTAGCTGGCGTACGACTCTTCATTTATCAAACGCAAAGCGTGGTTATGTGAGGTAGAGTTAAGCATACCAAAAATCAACCGAAGTGCATTGAAGTCATGGCATCTGTGGCATCTTTTTGAGAGTTTGTTTAACCTTCTACAAGCACTGGGAGGTATATATGGCTTGTTGTTTAGTGGCACTTTTTGAAACCTTTCAATGGAATAATGTATCGTGACAGGTTTTAGAGTTGTAGTAAAACATATCAGTGGTTAATTTGAGGTCCGTAGTGGTGAAGAACAATCCCCAGTCAACTCGCCTAATCACTGGACACATCTGCTGCTAATCCACCCCACCGCAGTCTCTATATACCATTTGGTGTGTAGTGGAAGTACCGATTGAAGTACTAGTTGCAAAAAGCGGTAGTGCACATAATACCGTTTTCTGTTCACTTCCTGGGAACTTAGAGCCTACATTTGTCAAAATAGGAACCATGTTATGGCAAAATATTAAGTCCAATACATTATCATCCCTTGTAGGACAGTGTAGACAGTGTATGGAAAAAGTTGTCACACCTAGCCGGACCAGTAAGTGAATCCCGCTTAATTTCAGGTAGGTTAAGGTCACCGCGTATGAACTTATGATCATATGGGAGAGTGGATGCGTGTTCCAGAGCCATAATCAATGGAATCTCATGAATGGTGAAGGTGCCATGTGCCCCGTAAACGCATTACACCAATGCTGTAACATTCCTGCAGTGTACTGTGACCCATAGCGAGTCACTTACTCTATCAAGAACCATATTTTCCGACCTGAATACGGTGAAGGTGTTCAGGAAGTACATCAGACAACCTCCCCCTTTCTTATTGCTTCGGTCACATTGGAATTGTGTGTATATTTCAATACTTATCTCTTTATCTGGTGTATTTGCGTGACACCGCGACTCAGTGATAATTATTACCGGCTGCCTGACGGCCGGGTAAACGTGATCTAAGGCATTGTCTTGTGTCAGATAC